CAGCAAATAGTTTGTCATTTGTTTAGCCAAGTTGTTAAAGAAAGAGGCTTGGGTGTCTAACAGAGAAATGGTGATCTATGGAGTAGTCTCAGTACAACGACATAAGTTTTCTAGAATTATTGTTGATCTGTTGACCAGTAATTCATCTTTGGTAGCAGCCAAGTTTTTCTTTTCTTTCTTGGCATACAAGCTAATGAATCTGTACAATTAATTTGCAACTAATAGAAGAGAAAATGTGAAACTCAGGATTGACCCATGAGGTCCTTGGTGTTCTCTGAGCTTGGTTATTTTCTTTCAGGTGTTTCATAACCCAGCTAGGTAGCATCATCAGGGCTTGCAAGTACTAGATAAATGTTGAAGAGGTAGCTTTTGAGAAAACTCTGCTGAATTTTGAATCAAATCACAGGATATGTGCTGATTTGATTATTCAAAGAATAGAAGAAGGAAAAAGGTGGCTGTGTCTTGAAGCCTTATTTATACCAAGTCATATTCTATTGTACAATAAAATACACTTTAAAAAAATATGTGACGAGCCCATAGTGATTCCTCCAAAATAGTGGCCATTGCTGCACTGCTACAAAAGTATGAGTCACATCCATTTGTATACATTTAGCCATAACTGTAATCAGTTTCAAGGCTACACATCTTATGGTTTATCTAATAGAAAAGATGTTTCCTGAAAGGCCATTGGGGGTGGCCATTTATATTAGAAGCCTTCAGTTCTTTCCTTCCAAAGGCCTTCTCGTGTCTCCTCCTCACCCTCTGGTGGGAAAACTCATCAGAGCGCAAATCTCAATAACTTATTCAAGACATTAAGAATCACGATGCTGGGACCGGGTTTACTCATCTGCCATGAGTCACTCTAATGGAACACTTTCCTCTAAAACTGGATGAGCTGAGTTATCAGCCTCGCCCATCCCTTGCACATAGTAAGAGATTTCACCTAAGGCTGTTACCAAGGAAGCAGTTGGTCATAGTGTTACATTCTTCCCCAACCCCCTCCCCCTTTCTTTATGGAAATCTCGGTAGAAATGAATTAAGGTCTTTTCCTTAGGAAGCAGCTTGAATTCTGAACTATTTTATTTTTTCCTTCCAGAGAAGATGCAGAAAACGTGGGTTAAAATCTTTTGTAGTGAAACGTCCATACAGGTATATGGATTAGGTAATGAAAATAGTTGCCAGTAGTTTAGAGCTTTGGACATTTGGGGGGGGGGTAAATCTTTGTTGCTAGTGGGGGATGAAGTGAAAAGATATATTTCTTTGAGTAGCTGATTTAATTTAAACTCCGCCCCTTCTTATGGGGAGGTTTTTTAAGGGTCAAGACATATTTATCTTGAAACTGAATTCATTTTTTCATTCAGGTTTCTGTCCCACTTCAATTGCAATCAACTGTACTAAGCCAATGCTTTTTGGAGGCCTTTTCACTTTTATTTCTTCTTGGGTGGTACCTTAGCCTTCTATTCCAAAGACTCTACATCAGGGGTGTCAAACTCAAGGCCCGGGGGCTGGATCCGGCCCATAGGGTGCTTAGATCTGGCCCAGGGGGCTGCCTTAGAAACAGCAAAGGTCTGTCCCACAATGTCTCTGCCAGCAAAAATGGAGCTCGGGAGGGAGTTCCATTTTTGCTGGCAGTGGGCTACAGGAGGCCGAGCTTGGGAGCCTGTTTTCGCTGGCAGAGTGCTTGGCCCACCACAGGTATCCCCGACACAAGTGACATTGAGCTGGCTACACCCACCCTGGCCATGGCTCCTCAAGGTCAAAAACAACCCTGATGCAGCCCTCAATGAAATGAAGTTTGACACCCCTGCTCTACATAAAGGCTCTACTCTACAAATTATTAACCTCATTATGAATTAAAAATCTTTGCTATCTTAAGATACCACCCTTTACCATCAGATCACTGATCTGTTTAGCTCCACACTGTTTTTACTTTTTGCTTTTTAAAAAAAGGTTTTTATTAGGTAAACATTAAAAATGTTGGACATAGTGCAACATTTCCGGCATAGTCAGTTCCATAGAGTTCTTAGATCTTACAACAATAACAGTTTATATCCATTACATAGGTATGTATCAAATTACCTACCCATTAGTCCCTTTCGTTATATAGTTGCTATCAGTACATATACATATCCAGTTCCTATCTATCATACAATATTAATACCATATTTCCAATTCTTAACTTATCCGTGTTTTTCTGTCCCGACCTTTTCCCCTCGTTTTTAATTATCGGTACCATTTGTCCCAGATTTCGTGGTATTCTATCTCACCCTTCTCCTTGAGCTCTAGTGTCTGTCTCTCCATTTCTACGTGTGTTAGTATCTTATTTATTATTTCTTGTTCCGAGGTCTGGATATCCCTCTCCCTTAGGATCTGGAAAATAGACCAATGTTTGCTAATCAGGCATTTTCCAGATGAACTGGGAATTCAGAAATCCAGGCCAGCATAGCCATTGTTGTCTGAACACATCTGGATGGTGCCGGGTTGGGGAAAGCATGATAGTGAGTTATTGAACAAATAGCATGGCTTAGTGTGACTCACATTTTGACATTCCAATCCTTTAAATTGAGAAATAGTTGTCATTGAGTCATAAAGGGCCGCAGTTCAATTCTAGAGCACATGGTTTGCACAGTGAAGATCTAATATTCAGTTCCCCCATCCCTTCTAATTGTCTTATTTTAAACAATATCAGGGATACCATTGTAATTCACTACTTACACATTTCAGTCTACACTATTCAAACAAGCTACCTCCTAGAATACCAAAATGTAAAATAAAATAAGAAAAGGAGAGAAACAAAGGAAAAACACCTCAAAGAACAAAAGCAATATAGTATAGGACAATAAGCATTTCTTCCCGTATCAAATATACCAACATTTATACAATCTTATATATGCAACTTATTATGGGTTTTTGAACAACAGATTAAACTGAGACTATACTGAATTATATGTTTTGGTCTTATCTCTCCAAATCCCCATAGTCAAAAGGATCAGATAACAAATAATGTGAAAATGAGAGATTGCTGCAACCTGAATAGTAGGCTTATGGAATGGACAGGGGGCATAAGAATCACCCAAACTAACTCTCTGTATTTTATGGGAAAATAAGTCCATTCTTGAGAGGTATATTTAAACTTCTAGTAGGTGCAACTTTGAGCAATTATTCATGACCCTAACGTCTGTGGTAATAGAAATTAGCTCTTGGCCATGTTACTGTGGCACCCTTATATACTGGAATGATGGTTTAATGTCTCCCCTTGAAGAGGACCAGCTATCCACAGTAGTTGTGTAAGATAATTTTCTTGGGGAGTTATGTAGAAATACATGAATACAGGTAGTCCTCATCTTATAACCATGTTGTTGTTAGCTGTGTCCAACTCATCGCGACCCCATGGACAACATTCCTCCAGACCTTCCTGTCCTCCATCATCCTCTAGAGTCCATTTAAGCTCACACCAACTGCTTCAGTGACTCCATCCAACCACCTCATTCTCTGTCATCCTCTTCTTTTGCCCTCAATCTTTCCTAGCATTAGGCTCTTCTCCAGTGAATCCTTCCTTCTCATTAGGTGGCCAAAGTCTTTGAGTTTCCTCTTCAGGCCTTCTGGCCTTCTAAAGAGCAGTCAGGATTGATCTCCTCTAGGACTCACCGGTTTGATCGCCTTGCAGTCCAAGGGACTCGCAGGAGTCTTCTCCAGCACCATAGTTCAGAGGCCTCCATTCTTTGGTGCTCAGCCTTTCTTATGGTTCAACCTTCACAGCCATACATTGCAACTGGGAAAGCCTTGACTATACAGACTTTTAACCATAATTTAGGCCAAACTTTCTGTTGCTAAGCAAGGCAGCTCTTATGAGCTTTGCTCCATTTTATGACCTTTTGCCACAATTGTTAAGAAAATCACAGCAGTTGTTAAATGAATCTGAATTGCCCCATTGACTTTGCTTGTCAGAAGCCAGCTGGGAAGTTACAAATGGCAATCATATGACCCCAGGACAGTTTAAATAGTTGCCAGTTGCTAGTTGCCAAGCACCCAAAGTTTTGATCATATGACCATGGGAATGTTGCAATGGTTATAAGTGTGAAAAATAATAGTCACTTTTCTGAGTTTCGTTGTAATTTCAAATGGTCACTAAATGAAGGTGTGTAAGGAGTGAAGGAGTGATTCTGTATGTGATAACTTTGATCGGGTGCTAGTCTTTCATATATATGGATCATCACTTGAGACTGTAGATAACAAGTGTGCAATTGACAAGTGTGCAGTGATCATCTACAGATGATCATGCAACACAGACATACTCAAAAAAGTCCACTCCAAAGAATATTGCCCTCATTCTGGCAAAGTAATTGTTAAGATACGGCACTGTTGGTTTTTTTTTTAACATACTCTTTTAAATTTGAGCCAATACTTTGAATTCACCCTTGAGGTTAAAAAATACTTGATGTCTTTAATTGAATGTCTTACTGTCCCCATTAACTGCATTTCTCTGAATTTTATGGCCTCTTATATTCCATTATATACATGGTTCCATGCGTTTTAGAAAGAAAGCAGTTTCACAAGCAATATAACTTACGACAAGTAATTTAATTAAGTCTGAGATTCCCTAGAATACTGGCACACAGAGTGGAGGAGACGTAAAGGCAGAAAGGATCAGGACCAGAGGCAGCTCAGGTTGAAGAAATGCTGTATATGTGTGTGCTGCCCCCTGGAGGGGAAGGATAGTCCTATCCTACTCTGTTTCATCCTCACATCTTCTACCTAGACAAGCAACCTCTTGCTCAAGAAGTTCCCAAAAGGCGGAATTTCCACATCCTAGGCAGGTATGCATTCACTCACTCACGCTCTGGCTCCAAGGTGAATCACTGCAACTCCTTTTAAGGAGAGGCTGCATGAAAGGAAGTGGGGGAAGGGTTAGTGGGGAGCTTCTTCACCACGCCTTGTTCTTGCTTCAGGCTGAGACGCCAAGCCAAAAGCTGATCCCAGCAGCTAAACTCGGCAGAGATTCCGACAGCTTTGCTAGCAGCTGCCTGATTCCTCTCCAAATCGGCCTCCTTGCCCAGCACTCCCTATCACTGCCTATTCACAATGGCCAGGAATCACCTAGTACAGAAAGCCAAGCTAGCTGAACAGGCTGAGCGTTATGAGGACATGGCTGATTTCATGAAGGCTGTGGTAGAGGATGAAGCCGAACTCTCTAATGAAGAACGCAACCTGCTCTCGGTTGCCTACAAGAACGTAGTCGGCTGTCAGAGATCGGCATGGCGGGTCCTCTCCAGCATTGAGCACAAGTCTGAAGAAGGAGATGACAAAACTCAGCTGGTCAATGAATATCGGGAGAAGATTGAGAAAGAGCTGAAGAACGTTTGCAATGTGGTCTTGGAGCTCTTAGACAAGCATCTCATCCAGAAAGCTAGCGACCCAGAAAGCAAAGTCTTCTATTTAAAAATGAAAGGCGACTACTTCCGTTACCTGGCCGAGGTGGCCGCTGGGGATGACCGAAAGCAGATAATTGACAATGCCCGAAAAGCTTACCAAGAGGCCATGGACATCAGCAAGAAGGAGATGCAACCCACAAATCCTATCCGCCTGGGCCTCGCTCTTAACTTCTCCGTGTTCCACTATGAAATTGCCAATGCTCCAGAAGAGGCCATCAAGCTGGCCAAGACCACCTTCGATGAAGCCATGGGTGACCTCCACACGCTCAGCGAAGACTCCTACAAAGACAGCACTCTCATCATGCAACTTCTCAGGGACAATCTCACACTATGGACAGCAGAGTGCTCAGGAGAAGAAGGCGGAGAAGCGGGAGAAGAGCCAAAGAACTGAACTTTTTAGACAGTAGAATGATAGTAACTCCACATCTCCCTTCCTCTTTTGTTCTTTTTTTCCCAACACATGGTATTTTTTATAAGCTGCATCTCCAGTTCCTGAAAGTTTCAACGGGATTTTGACAGCAAAAGGGGATGGATTCATAAAGGACTTAAGCATTTATCCACTCGTCCTCATGTGACAGCTTTGGGATTACCTTGGTCCTTGGGCCCCGTTCTTCCTGGTATGTGACATCTGCTAGACTCACCGCAGTGTGGAACTCCTTGCTTGGGTTCCCCCCCCCCCTTCATAAACTCTTGTGTTTGGTACAGCATCTGGTTCATACAAGTGTTCTCCTGGTATGGGATGGATATTATATATATATCCATATATATATATAATAATTTGTATGTCTAACTGTGAACAAAACTAAAACCTGAAAGCTTAAACATTATTTTGCATGGCAGAGGTACCAAAACAGTAGCTGAACCGAGTTAAACAAAAATACTTGTCTTTGCTTTCTCCAGGGCTTTTTTTTTTGTTCTGTGGGGTTTTCTCACTCCGGGCCAGAAGGTGGAAACGGGGCCTTGAATGTGTGAATGTGGGAGGGAGGATTTCTTCTCTAAGGGGTTAAAGCTAGCAATCTCAAGAGAGCCTCTTGTTACTGTGGTGTTACTGTGGTGGTTTGCTGCAATACTCTTTCCCCAATAAAAATTCACGTTTATGCCTGCCTTTCGTAGTCCTGGTCTTCAGTTCCACATCTGGATGTTTACAGATAAGAGGGAGAATGTGACCCTCTTAGAGCCACTTCAGAGGTAGGAACACAAGCCTAAGCAAAAGGCAGGGTGAGCAGGTTGATGTATGTTAGACATTTCCCTGTTCTTCCGAAATCCAAGGTTCTCCTGCAGGCTTTGGGGGGAGAGGGGGTAGAGGTGGGAGAACAGCATGTCTGAAGCAAGAGCGGCATTGTGTAGGTTTCATCAATGAAAGGAAAGGAGAAGGGCGGAGTTGCTAAGCAGCCCTGAGGAATGGCTTTAAAGAGAGGAATATTTTGAACTGGGCGGAAAAGGATGCCATTCCTTTTCTCCAAGAGAAAAGCACATGCTTGTATTTTCCAGGTCTACAAATGCTGCTCCCTTATTCAGGAAGCACATGACCATGCATCAAAGCCCACTCATGGATGCTTTCTTTGACTTTTGGGGGAGACTGGGTGTGATCAGTTTTTTTTTTTTTTTTTTTACATCCTACACTGATGCAGACCAATCCTTTGCACTAGAGAATACTGCGGTGTTATATGACAGTGTGGGCTTTTTGGCTCACATTTGGTCTATTTTAAACACCAGGAAAGCCTATTGATCTTCCTACAAAAAAAAAACACAATTGTGGCTAAGAATGTAATTAGTTTATTTCTTGATTGTTCAGGAAACAGAAAGTGTCAGAAAAGTCTATATGTCTCTTGCTTAATTTCCTTAACACTTTCAAGTGGATCCCAAGATCCATTTGAGACCTTGAAGAGCCTCCATCTTTCATGCCAGAGAAAGTTGAGCCAGTGGTCTTTGAGTGATTTCTTTGTCCCTAGCTGATGGACTATGGGAGGACACATATTTAGCATGCAAAAAGTCTCATGTTCTGTCCTTGAACCTCTGGGTAGAGCTGGGAATAACTCCTCTATCAGTTGCTGGTGAATCAGCCAGCTTAGCCAGAAATAAAACAAGGATAAAAATATAATAAGCAAAGACATTCATGAACCCAGGTTAGGAAGTTGAAGGCGCAGCCACTTTGGATTCATTTAGAATAAATTAATGCAATAATAAAATCAATGATAAAAATATAATAAGCAAGATTTTAAAAATGTATAAATTATAATAAAAACGTTCCCATCCCCAGGAGTTAATTGATCAAGATGAAGCAACTGTCTGATTTGATTTAAGAAAGTTTCCTGCCTTAAGATGATCATTATGGACGAACTCCTCTTAAGAGAAACCTTATCTTTTATTATGGAAGAATCCTTGGGGAACATTATTCCCCAACACCTGTATGAATTTTCAAGGCTAGTTTTAATTTCACTGCTTTAAAAAAATGCAGCTTTCACTTCATTCTTAGAAAGCTTCCATGCACCATCCATTTTTGAATATCCAATCTCAGAACGACATGGTGAAATCAGGCAAGTGTCGCCCATACAGCAGAGGCTAGAACTTTCTCTAGGAGATCAAGTGAAGAAAACAAGAATTTCACCTGTCCTTGATGTCTCCATATTGCATTTATTTTTGAGGTCAAGAAAAAAAAGACCCCACCCGACTACCGTGTGGTAGAGTGGCAAAGTGGCCTCACATATTTATTTGGGAACAGAAACTCAGAAGTTAATTAGCTCAGGTGCTGGAGACCTTCAGATGCTCATGATCCTATGAGAAGAAAGGAGCCCAGTCACAGATCAGCATCATGACCTAAGACAAGTTTGAAGAAAGTTCATCACTTCTATCTCTAGGGCAGTGGATTTTTCTTCTTCTCAATTTGCAAGATAAGCTTCTAAAACGTTAGCGTCCTCAAATGAAGCGTCCTTCATTTCCTTTCTTCACATAATTGCTTTATAACATGCACACACAAAGACAGAGACAATGTTGGCAGCTTTGGCTTGCGTGAAACTAGAAAGGGCGTGCCTCACTTCAGGCAGTTAAGAACTGGGACATTTCATCTTGATGTCTCAGGATTACATGCAAAAGTTCCCAAGTCTACTCCCTAACATCTCCAGGCGGCCTGGGAGATTTCTTCTTACAAGCTTGTGAATGGTTCTGAGATCAGAAGTCTCCAAACTTGGCAATTTTAAGACTTGTGAACTCCCAACTCCAAAAATTCCTCAGCCAACCTGAATTAGATGAGCCAATGGCCTGGCTTGATATAAGAAAGCAATCAATGTTCTGGTATTCTTCTGGCAGGCTAGATAAGATATGCACTTGCTACACTATTAAGAACAACCATAAAGGCAGGACAAGTGCTTGAAGATACAAGAAAGGAGATGGGGAAGGAGTTCAGATGGGATAACATGTTGAACATGTTTGTTTGGAAGTAACATACACATCGGGGTGAAATTCAACAGTTCTGACAGGCTCTGGAGAACCGGTAGCGGAAATTTTGAGTATTTCGCAGAACTGGCAAATCCCACCTCTGGCTGGCTCCAGAGTGGGGTGGGAATGGGGATTTTGCAATATCCTTCCCCTGGAGTGCGGTAGGATTGGAAATTTTGCAGTATCCTTCCCCTGCCACACCCACAGAACCGGTAGTAAAAAAAAATGAATTTCACCACTGATACACATATATCAATTTATATCATCCTTGTAGCTGAAAAGATGGGTCACTTTTGTTCTAGAACGTGGGGAACCTGGTGTTTAATGGGTGCATATGTACCACGGAGGTGGTCTGCATAAACCTTACCAAAATGAAATGGGGGCTGGCAAACAGCATGACGTTCTCAAATGATCCTTCCCTTATTTCATCTTTCTCATTCTTCTGACCCCTGTACAACTACACGATCAATGGCCATCCTCTCCTGCCTCTGAATTTCTGGAATCCACTACCACAAATGGGCTAACTATTCCCTTTTTGAAAATATCTTAAGTATCCAAAGACCTTGCAATTATTTATTTATTTTTTCAAAAGTAGCTGTTGGAGAAACTGATGCAGTTGTCTCCTCGCCCTACTCCCAACTATCTTGTGGCTGATTGAAAAAAAATTAAAAGAACGTCTTTGCTCACTAAAGATTCTTAACTGCAGAGGGGAAAATTATCAGGGAAAGTTTCACAAGGACACAACTGCTGACTCAGGGCAATAACTGTCCTGTATGCGGGCCTGTTATTCTATTGCAAGGCTCTTGTGGGGCTGAATGCAAGATAGGGACAAGATGAATGATAATTGGTGTCGCAACTGAATCAGTCATAACTCACAGGTGCAAGAGAGGAAACTGAAGGAATCCATCAACTGTTGGTGTGTAGGATGCGCCATCCGCTTACTCATTTAAATATAATCCGTAAGGCTCTGGGTGGTGCCCTGCTTATTTCTCCTGGAGTCAACCTCTTCTCAATGTAATTGAATGAAGTAGGTCTTGAGTTTATTCATAAACCGGGTGAGAAGAGGATAAAAAGACGCAGGGATTGCTGAAGGGCTCCCCTCAGAGATACAGATCGAAATTTCAAATAATCTCCGCTACATGTAGATTGCTGGACTGGGAAATGGTGTTCTTATCTGGTTTCTTAAGCTATGCAATTACCTAGATGAAAGCAATGCCCCCCCCCTCCCATGGCATTTCAGATAAGATAAACTCCATCCAGTATTATCATCTTTATTTCTCTGCCTGTGTCAGCTGGTTTACAGACTGTTTTAAGCCAGCACATGGGCACATCTTGATGGGCAGGAATTACAGTATTTGAGGCATGGGAAGGGCAACAGTTGGCAACAGTAGGAAAGCACAGTGGGCAGGACCCAGAACGCATGGGAGCAGAAGGAGTTTTTCCATTTCTTGCTCCTGGCTTTGAGAGCAATTTGGTTTCATTCCAGGAATATTTTCGCAGTATGGTGCAGAAAGCCAAGGGCAGCTGCTGGGGTGATAAAAGCCAAGAGGCAGCTGTTGGGGTGATCAAAGCTCTGCTTGTTTTTCTGCATGTAGTGAACGCTTACAAAGCAAGAAGAACTTCAACTGAGAGGTCCTTGGTGCTCTCTGGGCTGGGTTATTTTCTTGCAGACTTTTCATTACCCAGGTAAAAGTAAAGGTTCCCTTCACACATGTGCTAGTCGTTCCTGACTCTAGGGGGTGGTGCTCATCTCCGTTTCAAAGCCGAAGAGCCAGCGCTGTCCGAAGAAATCTCAGTGGTCATGTGGCCGGCATGACGTTACCTTCCCACCAAAGGTGGTTCCCAATTTTCTACTTGGATTTTTTACGTGCTAGGTTGGCAGAAGCTGGGACAAGTAACAGGAGCTCACCCTGTTACGCGGCGCTAGGGATTCGAACCGCCGAACTGCCAACCTTTCTGATCGACAAGTTCAGCATCTTAGCCACTGAGGCACCACGTCCCTCTTTCATTACCCAAACTAGGTAAATAAATAAATAGTGGTAGTCCCGATGATGTTACCTGGTTTGGGTAATGAAATGTTTGCAAGAAAACAAAGAAGCTCAGAGAGCACCAAAGACCCCTCATGTCAACCACTGAGCTACAAATACACCTCCTTTATCGGAGTTTCAATTCGCTGTTGAGGCCACCATCCTGAATTTTCGAACCACACCCTGAGGATGTCTCCTTGGAGAGATGGAGAAGAAAACAGGTTAGACTCCTCCTGAGGTCAGCCTTGAGAAACTGCTTGGAGTGATCCTTGCAGTGTTATATTTCCAGAGCGGGATAGTGGTTAAGATGGCCTGGACAGCAACCCATGGCCCAGTCTCTTTTCAACCACAGACCCTCCCTTGGTGACTTTGGGCCAGTTCTGCTCCGTGGGGCCACTCTGGTGTGCATAAAATGTACATCCTCCTTATTAGCTACCTTGAGCTCTCGGAGAAAAGGTGAGATTAAAATCTAACAAAAATAATGTCTGCTTTGGGATGAATTGCTAATGAAAATGACAATTCCTTTAATTTAAATAAGTTTTCTTCCTAGCCCTGAGCCAATGCTTTTAACATTTGGAGAACATATTTAGCAGA